TTATTTTACCAGGTAGAATGGTTTCATTTTTGCAGTTTTATTTTTCTAAATACTTTTCATTACATAGAAATCATGTAGTGACTATTCCTAAGGACTGCTGGAAATTACAGCAGTCTAATCCTATGCCTTCATGCTTAGATATGCAAAGCAATACTGGGATCATTGAGATTACAGCATGATTATTCCAATAATTTTACATAAAATCAAATCACTGAAGATATTTCAGGGAACACTTCAGAAATGGATCAGCAGACATTTATTTTTGGAATTCTCAAAATTGACTGCAGAGAATTTGAAGAAGGGATTTTACTTTTAGTTTAACAACAAAGAAAATGGAAATGGTTCCACTGAACATGTACCATATTAACTATAAAAATGGTAACTTGCATTTTAATCCTACAAATCAAGTTATAAAACTGTGGCTGAGCTTTCTGGTTGCTAGTTCAGGAAATAGAAATAGTTACTCAAGGAAGACTAGGGTTTAAATAACTTTATAAAACAAAAGTATTGTTTCAGTCTCATTAGATTTGATCAAAAAAATAGCAATTTTCTCATCTCTAAAGAAGCTCCATGGAAGAGGGAGATCTATTTATAAATTTATTTAAATTATCTTAAGTGTGCTGATTTTTTCATATTTCCTATTTTGTGCCAATAAATGGGAGGTGCATGTATATCATAAGAAGATGTCCACTGGCTTGACAGTCATGGAGAAGTGCTCAATATCACTAGGTAAATAATTCAAATCATAATTTCTTGTTATCCAAATATTAACATTTTTAATGAAATTGTACTATTCAATTCTTCCTGGAATATTTATTGTTTCCTTCATTTTTACTAATGATATATCTTGGTCCTCTATTTCTGAATTTTAAATTGACTTTTTATGTTGAGTCATTAAATGCTCTGTCTTTTGACCTAGAATATTTCTACTTATGAAACTCTATCTCAAAAATTAATAATACATCCAGAAGGATAATTATGTATAGAGACAGTCTTTATAATAATGATTAATTGGAAACAGCTTAAATGGTTACTATTAGGCAGTGTCTAAAGCAATTGTGTGTGTGCACTTGAAGGAATTTATTACTGTCACTAACAAGGTATTGATATAAGCCTCATCATGACACAGACCTAATGTCACACCATAGTGTGATTTTATATTGTGAGGGGGGAAAGGCATATTGTAAAATTCGTACATAGCACAGTATAACTGCACTGAAAATCCCATCTACCAAAACTAGCTTGGAAAGACATACACTGACATATTACCTTTAGATCATAGGTGAAGCTTCTATCTTAATATTATTTTTTAAATCAGAACTTGTTTTAGTGTGGAATTCGTTGTGGGGAATTCATACAAGGACATAATACATCTTAATTCCTGTTTTCATCCCTGTTCTCTCCCCTCCCTTTACCCTCTAAACTTCTCCTGATCTCTTTTATTATTCTGTCCATGTTTGCAACACACGTTTACACACCTTGTGTGGAGGTGGTACATGTATGTAACACACCTTAATTCCAGTTTCCATCCCCCAGCCCTCCTTTCCTTCTCTCCTCCCTCCATCACTTACTCCCTTTTCTTTTGAGAAAGACACATCTCACTATGACCAATTGTCTTTTTTTGTTATTGCTCTTTTCTCTTTCTTTTTTTTAGGGAGGGTCTCACTATATAGCGCACTTATGCTGGCCTTGAACTCACTATGTAGCCCAGGCCGGCCTCAAAGTTGCAGCAATCCTCTTGCCTCGGTCTCCCAAGTGCTGGGATGACAGGCATACGCCTTTGTGCCTGGTCCCTATTACCTGTTTTTCATTTTGCTCTTTATTTATACTTCAGGTTTCTCATATAATAGAAGCAATGTGATACGTGAGCTTGTGTGTCTGACTTATTGCACTTAACAGTGTGGTCTCAAGGCACATCCATTTTTTTCAACAAAGTGATGTTAATAACGTGATTTTTGATATGCAGAGTAAATAACGGGTAGTAAGATTCCATCTATAAAACTAAAACACTTTTCAAACTTTCAATTTGGAAAACCACCAGAGAAAATCATAATCATACCAAACAGGGAGTAATAAATACCAGTTTAAAATATTCATTATGTTTATTTCACCAGGATTTTCACACTAACCCTAGTGGCAGACTACATGAGCTAATTTTCAAAATGATTAATACACTGAATTCCATGAGGGTCAGACACGCTGTCTTAGTGCATCATCACAGTGGTGGAGAGTCCTTGGATACAGAGTGGTGTTCATGAATGACTAATAAATAACTTGCCAGTGTTATTAAAATTATAAAGAACACATTACGTTAGTAGGAATCTGTTGGATTGCCCATCTACCGCTATTCCTCCTGCTTCTGTTTGTAATCATGGTTGTTTCTGGGAAATGATTTGTTACCACTTTTGTCCATGTGGTCCGGCTCACTCCTTGCCTTTAAATTGCTGCTTTAGTGCAGTCCACAGTTTTGCTTCGACTCTGGGAAACAAGACAGGCTCTTCCACCAAGAGTCTCTAAACTAGTGGAATGTAATCTTGGTCTAACTGGCGCTGTCTTTGCCTCTGTGCTGGGAAAACTGAATAACAATGAAACCAACACAAAGACCGACCAGCTGACCTAAGAGTTGCAGAGGACTTATGCCTGACTCTAGGATATTCCCAAACTTTGCATGACTTGACCTGACAAATCTCTCTACTCAACATTTTTGCTTTGTTTCTCTTAAACCAGTTTGATGAGCCAGGTATGGTGGTGCATGCCTGTAATCCCAGCACTCAGGAGGCTGAGGCAGGAGAATCACTGCAATACGAGGCCAGCCAGGGCTACAAAGTGAGTTCAAGATCAGTTTGAACTGCACAGGAAAATCCTTTCCAAAAAGGACACAATAAAGCAGAATAAAACAAATACCAGTTTGATTGAGGCGTGCATACTGAATAGAAAGAGTTCCACATTATCCAAAGGTAGGAATTAACATTGCTCTTCATAGTCTGCCAACAGTTTTGGTAATAATGGGAGTGGTCATTTTACGGAAAATCCATCATTATGAAATAATTGCTAGTAGATAGCAGGGCACATAGTTCAGTTTGAATTTTTAATAAACTTTTACCCGAAAAGAGTCTGAGTCCTGTGGAACTGAAGGGAATTTCCACTTCAGTATGCTGAACTGCAGGGCCTGAGATGGTGCTTTTTACAGCTAAGGCTTTTTTTCCCGTGTTAGCACGCCTCTTAGACTGTGTGTGCTACTTGTTTTTACTTTCACAGTTTCTGTTCTCTTCTGTGTGTATTTAGGGCAGAGTACCTTGATACAGCTTCTGCAATGTCTGGCTTTTCTGCCAACTTAGTGTTTTGTAAGGAACTGGGTCCCCTGACAGGGGTCGGAATTCTATCCATAAATAGCTTTCTTAGGGCCTTAAATGTTCAAAACCAGGCCTTTCAATAAGGTGGTCATGAACAATTCTTAAGAAAATTTTCACTGTACTTCTATAAAGCACTTTATTTAAATTCATAGAAAAGTATACTTTAAAGATTAAAAAAATGGTCCTCAGGGGTCTCTACATTTAAATCTGTTTATGATCATAAATGTGTGGTGGCAACAGATTACATAGTGTCTCCATACTTAAAAATAAACTCTTATACTCGAGACTCTGAACTATGAATTTAATTATCTGCTATTCATTTCTCCCTAACCTATTCACTATTTGCTACAGTGATTCTTTTTGCTCTTGTCTTTTTACATTTTTTGTGTTCTTCAAAAAGTGAGTTTTAATTTCAAGATTTCATCTTAATTTCAACTTTTTTCTCTCTGTGTAGTATTCCTCTCTCAACAGATAGGATAGAGCCTAAAATATAGACCTCTAACAATTTGTTCAAAGAATAAGCCTACAACATATTTAGGTATCTTCTACAATCAAACATAGATAGACTAAAACCACGAGTGACACCACGGTGGCAGAGAGGCTCAGAATCGAATGTCTGCTCTCTCACTTGCCCATGGACAAAGGACACATTCTTACACATGCTCCATCATATCCTAAAATAAGCCTTTACTGGACTCTTGGGAAGATTCATGGAAACACTTGCTATGATTTCTGATTTGTAGCAATAGTGCGGTAAACATGAATTTTAATTATTGCTCTATGCCTAAATTTAGCTATTAACATCTGTCAATATTTATCACCCTCCTCTAACTTCCATCACTATCATTGAGTGCAACTGATACCACTGAGCTCGCTCAGTTGATGCTCAGGACCTTGTCACAAGAGTCCTGGGTGTTTACAAAACCTAGACGTGATGGCGTGGTTATGCCACCAGGCTAGGCCAGTCAGGATATTACTTGCAGTGCACAAGTAATCAAGGTGGATGAGGTAAATCTACCTAGTGAGGGTCTCACACATCACTGTTGTCCTAGAGAATAAGAATATATGGTTATACAGAAGAATAGACTATATGGTTTCCTGTGTAACAAAAGAAAACAATAAGAAAATGGGATCCCAGCTACCCCTTTGCTGTTTGACTTTTATTAGCTCAATTCTTCTGAGAAACAACTTGTCAAGCCTAGAGGCCTCAACCCAGGAGACAGAAAATCACAGGGAGTAGACACAGTGCACCTGTAAAGCTGCCAGTCTCTGAGTTACAATGATCTGTGTGACTACACCTAAATGCTTAGATGGGGAGATAACCCCTGATGGATGTGATTACACATGCTTATGCCCTCTGATTTGCCAATGGCAGTCGAGGAGGTATCACTTCCTTGCGTGGAGTTTGTGCACATTTTATGTTTCCACCCAGGGGCAAGACAGGTTAGGAAGGTTAAGAAGGAGGGGAGGCCGTGGGAGGCGATAATAACCAGGGAGGAATACACAGCATCAACCTGGGGGGAAAGGGAGGAGGGCAGAGGAGGAGGGTGTTCCCTACTGCCTCTGCCTATGTGTTAAGTAGCAGGAGAAATTTTGAAAGCTGCTGTGGGGAGGAGCCAGTGACTGGGTTTGGGGTGTTTGAGACCTCACTCTCCCCACTTGCAGGAAAACCTCTTTACATTCAGATCTAATTGGATTGGAAGGAGGAAGGCTGACCACGGAACAGAGGGAAGCCGTCCTCCCGCTGCTCCTCCTCCTGTCATTTATCGCTTGCCTCCTGACTCTTCCAAAGCAAGCTCAGCAGGGCCAAGGTGGCTGCAGAACATCCAGACAAGGGCCAGCACCTACTTAGCTGCCCTGTGCATCCCGGGCTACCCATTAGCTGGTCACCGGCCCAGGCCACTGGGACCACTTCTCATGGCTGTGGCCTCCGCTGCCCCAGGGAGCATCTTCTGTAAGCAGCTCCTCTGCTGTCTCCTGGTGAGTAACCAAAAGGATTAGGGACTCAGCATGTCAGCGCCTGCATCCTCTCCAACATGGGCTTGAGAGAGAGAAGAGGCGGAGATGGGAAGCATTAAGACAGACTGCAAAAACAAAAGCAGATCTCGGGAAAAACCAGGGAAGGATTTAGAGACTTGTGATCCAAAATGAGGAAGTTTACCCTGCTTTTCACATGTCCACGGCCAGATGTTAAAGTTTTCCGGGGAATCCTGTGTCCAGTCTTGTTGTGGTTCTTATATGAACAGAGGAGTAAATCTGGTCCTTAAGCATTCGGTCCAGGGGCTCTGAAGTTTGCTTTGTTGCTAGTCATTAAATAAGCTCACGTGTTTAACATGCTTCCTTCCACCGGGCTGCAGGGGGAGGAAAGGGGAGGTAAGAATTAGCCCAGATTTTCTTAGTTTGTTCAGGTAAAACTAAGGGAAAAGCATAACTTTTACTTTAAGCAAACTGTTTAACTCAAGGGAAAGAAAACAATCTATGAAAAAGGCATTAACTTGACTTGCATTTTGATAGTTTGTAACTGTTTCATGTTTCTATTATTTATTTATTTATTTATTGTCTTTTTGAGACAGGGTCTCCCATGTAGTTCAGGTTGGCTTTGGGCTCACTTTGTAGCCCAGGCTGGTCTCAAAGTCACTATGATCCTTCTGCCTCAGCCTCTTAAGAGCTGGGACTACAGAAGTGCGCCATCCTACCTGGCTATAACTCTGTGACTGTGTCAGATGCTGTTTTCTTTTTGGTGGGAAACAAGGAGTTGTGTTCCATCTTCATGCTCTATTTGTGAGCCATGAATTTCCTGTTATTTTCAGTAAAATATTTTAGTTTCAAATTTTGTGTTTAGGATTTGAAGATGGCACTGATTGTGATAAACATTTTCTCTGTATAAATAATATTCACTGCAGGGTTCACCCTCAGCTCCTCCTCCTGTAACTGACTGGGGAGAAGAGATCATCTTGAGTTACTATTATGCAAAATGTGGGTTGCAAGGGGCCCCCATCCAGACTTTTTTTTTAGAGACTTACTTTACCCAGTATCCTGTGATTGAACCTGTGCCCATACATTCTTGATTATCATCATACTGCTAAAAAGATATCTGATTACAACTCTGTCCCAGTCACCTACCACTGATCAACCAAGAGACCTACACACTGATAACTGGATACTCCCATTGGCTGTGTCTGCAGAGGGGCCTCACCGAGGTGGTGTCCTGGGCAGGGAGGAAATAAGATGAGGTAGGAGTAGGAATGTGGCTATTATATGTATGCAAATAGATCCCCACGTTATATGTGGTAAATGTACAGGTGTATGCATATAAGTGTGGGTGGCTGCACGGGCATGTGTATTTCTACTTGCAATGACTTCTTTCCACATTAGATATTTAGATCACTACTAATGGAATGGCTTATCCTCAGAAAGTTCTATAATTTAGTGCATTCCTGGGTACAAAGGATAAACATATTTTAAAGATCAAATAAGAATGCCTCATGTTTTAACAAGTGATTATTTAAATTAAAACTGAATACAAATGTGACTTTTAAAATTGCAGCATTTCATATTTCCACCTAACAAAGATTTGTAAAATTATAAATTATATAGACTGCTATAAGATCTCTAGTAGATTTGAACTGAGTTGGAAAGAAATGTAAACCCTTAATCGAATGCTAATCCTTTTTCTTTGTTCCTCACAAACAACTCTAGAAATATGCCTTCAGAAAGAACTGATCGGGAAATTGACCCATATGGTTCTGGGAATTCTGACTGTGATATATTTCAGTATCAAGTCAAAAAATAGTGATTTTGATAAAAAGAAGAGAGCAAATAAATAGAAAGTGACAAAAGAGAAGAAAAAAATGTTTCAACTGTATAAGACTTTGAACTGATAATTTTAAGTTTTGGATAGTATCTGTTTTCTTACAACTGCCTAGATTTTTTTTTTTTTTTTTTGGCACTAGTGGGGATTGAACCCATGATCTCTTCACTGAGTTATATTCCAGCCCCAGAATGGCCTCAATCTTGTGATCTTCCTGCCTCAGCCTCCCACAGTGTTAGGATTATAGACAGCAGAACTACTTAAATTAAATTTTTGAAACAACAGCTGTGTCTTGAATTTAATAACAAAAATCGTACCCATTTTTAGTCTATTTTAAAATATATTTCTTGCTGGATGAGGTGGCACATGCCCATAATCCCTGCACTGGGGAAGCTGGAGCAGTAGGATCTCTGCCAGTTCAAGGCCAGCGTAGGCTACAAAGTGAGTTCAAAGCTGGCCTGAACTGCACAGCAAGACCCTGTCTGAAACAAACAAATAAAGTTATATATATATATATATATATATATATATATATATATATATATAATTAGGTTACTTGCATGATTTTATATATATAATATATATAGGCTAATTATGTGATTTGAGATCATTTAGATTTTAAGTTTAGCTTAGGCAGTCTGAAAAGTGATTTGAGAACAGAGAATATTTGTGAACAATATTCTTTATGAGATTAAAAAAGATTTGAAATATTTCCTTACTTTATCAGCTATACGGTGGAAATAACTATGTTTTTACTATCTCACATAGTAGACATGTGGATTTGACAATTAGTATAAATATGTGTATATTGAATTTTAGAATTTGGTATTATCTTCAGACTAAATACTTAGACTGACATTTATGAATCATCTTAGAGGAAATAATTGCTATATAAATGTGTTTTCTTGCAGTTATATAGTGTGCAGATCCTTAAGCACTGTCCCCATAATGTTTTCAACGATAATAAATATGGTGTCCCCAAATCGACTTGCTTTCTGGTTACATTTAAAATAAATATTAATAAGAGGAATTATTAGAATGTTAATTTGTTTATAAACTGACAATGTTCTTATCAATAAGACAAAATAAATGTAAAATGTATGATTAAGTATAACTCCTGATTTCTTCTTTTTTTGAGGTTCCGTTGTTATTTTGTGATGCTTATCAGAAAATTGTTTTACAAGTTCCTTCTTATATTCCGGCAAATAAAGTAGTCGCAAAAGGTGAGAAATGTATTGAGAGTTTAATATTTGCAGTTTGCTGTATCTAGCTTTTGGTTGCACTTGCAGTTTGAGATAAAAGTCATAGAGTAACTACTTGTCATTAAAACTGGCCAGACAGTGAAATGTAGGCTACTTTTTTGGTGCTTTAAATTTAAAAGGAATTAAGTAAAGCTTTTGTTTTTTGCTGTTGTTGTTGTTGTTTTTGGTGCTGGGAATGGAACTCAGGACCTTTCACTTGCCAGGCAGGCACTTGTACTACTGAGCTATATCCTTGGACCTTAAAAAGAATTAAAATACCAAGGTTAGTTGTATACTCTTCTTGCAGAAAAATTAGTAGGTATCACAAGGTTAAATTATTTTAATCAAGGTCCCACAACCAGAAGCACACTTTAATTCATACCTTTGCCCAAGTTCTAATACCAACTTTCTCTAATGGATCACAAACAAAATGAAGATGTCAGAATTTCTCAAGTAAAATTTGTACTTAAGGTTGATAACAATACACATATGTTCATCAAGAACATATGGTTTGCCAGGTGTGGTGGGGCACGCCTGCAATCCCAGCACTCAGGAGGCTGAGGCAGGAGGATTGCCAAGAGTTGGAGCCCACCCTGGGCTGTATAGTGAATTCAAAGCAAGCCTGAACTACATGGTGAGACCCTGTCTCAAAAAACAAAAACAAAACAGCAAAAAAACATTTATATGGTCTATCTCACAGCACAACTTGTGAAAGTCAAAATTTTGGTGGCTCTTAGCACCTCGGTCATCAGTGCATACCAAGTGAAGTGTTTAATTAAGCTTCAAAAAAGTGTTACACAAAGATTATTTGTAATACAATGTTAGTGAGATGTTCAGATATTCAGATCAAAGTAGACCAAGATTAAAGTAGACCAGGCTGGGTGTGGTGGCACATGCCTGTTATTTCAGAACTCAGGAGGCAGGGTATCATCATAAGTTTGAGCTACATAGTGAGTTCAGTCTGGGCTGCATAGTGAGTTCAAGGCTGCCTTGAACTACATGGTGAGAGCTTATCTCAAAGAAGCAAAAAAAAAAAAAAAAAAAAAAAAAAAAAATTGTTACAACAAGTTTTAACTATCAAGTCTTACTATAAACAGGTCCCAAATCTACTGAAGTCATATAGTTATAATACAATATTCTGTTTTATAATCAACCATTTGTCAATATAAAACAACATATTTGTATATCTCTATATATGCATGCATATATATCATCTATCTATATCTGTCTATATATCTATCTATCTATCGTCTGTGCTTCTGGACTTACAATGATATTGCATCTCGACAAACCCATTACCAGTTGGAAACACTGTAAATAGAAACTGCATTTAATGCACCCAACCTACCAAATATCACAGCTGAGTGATGCAATCCACTGAGTGATGCAATGAATTTCAGCTGATTCCCTTCCAGGCTCACGGGAGCTGTAGCCCACTTTCCCTGAGCAGTGTTTCTATAGAGGATCTGACCACACATTGCAATCTTGAGAAAAGATCAACATTCAGCGTCACAGGATAGCTTCTACTGAAGGCACATGGTATTAGATCATCATAGAGTCAATATCAGTTAGTGCAACACAATACATATACATGTGGTATATGTATATTAGAAAAAGTGAAAATAGTGAATCTAATGGCACTGGAAAGATAATTTGTTTTTTAATGTATGATGAAAGCAATGAGAAGTAGGTGCCCACTAATTTGATTACTTCATTTTCATGGGCCCTAAGCTTTGGACGGGCAGGTGCTCAGGTGTAGCCGCCCTCTTTCTGCTTCTCACCCATTATTCAAAGTTGTACTCTCGCCAAACTTGTTCTATTCCTGTTTCACTTGACACGCTGCCGTGAAATATCTTCCCTGCAGTGGATCTGAAGAAGTATGCCAACTCCCATGCCACAATCGCTGACACCAGCGCCAACCCAGAGGACTTTCGAGTTGACCCAGATGGCACAATTTATGCAATGCGTGACCTCCACTTGTCTTCGATGACATATTTTACCATTTCAATCTCAAATTTAGATGAACAAAAGATGGCACAGGTGTCACTGGAGCCATCTACAGAAAAGGTATAGCAACTATCCAAATAGCTTTGCGCATTAATGTGTTTACGAGGCTCATTCGTTTCATATACTTCTTTTCTGGTGAAAATTGCTATCCTTGAATGATTGTTTTTCTTTTCTGCTCATAATTAGCATAAGAATGAACTCTGAAGGAGAGTTAGGGCTACGCACAGAGTTGTAGAATGATGACTGACTCGCAGGGAGCAAGAGAGACTATGCAACCTCCCAGAGAGTGTTTTGAGGTAGGGCAGGGAGAACAATGAAGCTGAAGGAGGAGCGCAGGCAGGGATGGGTCCCACACTCAGTGGGAAGGGAAGCAGGCTGGAGGCGCTGCCCCACCCTGGGAAGCTCCCGCCCAATTCACTGTGGCTTTGAGTCTCTTGTGAAAAAGACATCTCGTCCAGAACTTCCTCCCACTGCAACAGAAGCCTTCAAAGGCTAAAGAGGTGGCCTGTCCAAAAGACTGGTCTGTCTCACCTCCACACTCATTCATTTTACTGCAGCAAATGTTGGTGGTTCTCCTGGGTGAAGCTTGCAGGAGCTCACATCTCACTTTAAGAAAACTCAGCACAGTGATTTTAGTCTTATAAAATCATTTATTAGTAAGTGACTCAATGTAGAAATGCATTTCTGAGTTAAATTCCTTTTGATTGCAAAAATGCCTCTTCACTGAATTTAAAATACCCTCAAGTCTTACAAAACCATTTTTACCCTAGTTGTGAGGCCACACTGCATAAAATATACTTGGGAAAATGCTTCCCTGTGTCTTTATTTGTTCTATAAAGTCTTGCACTATAGAGAGAATTTGAACAAATTTTGATTGTATCATTTGTCATGGAATGGTTGTCTCATGGGTTGTCTCATGGGAGAGGTCAATGCATGACAATGTGACATCTTGGTCAATGCCCTACATATTTCTGATTGTTAGATAGCTAAATCAGGAAACAGGAGATGCTTCAGAATATAAGATAGCTTGAGTTCAAAACCATGTGTGCAAGTGTTCATGTGCCTGTGTAAAAATAGAAAACCACTGGGGGATTATTAATATTATTATGCATCACTCTTACTTATTTTCTCCATCTGGATGTTTATGCAAAAATCACAACTCCAAGAAACAAAAACAACTCTTATATTGTTTTTTTTCCACCCAATGTAGACTCCTAAGAATAGACATCCCCATAACACATCCCTCAGGCGGAGCAAGAGGAGATGGGCTCCTATTCCCTGTTCACTGATGGAGAACTCATTAGGTCCATTTCCACAGCATGTCCAGCAGGTGTGTCTCTTCTTCTATGTGATTTCATGTGTTTTAAGGATTTTGTTTTGTTTTGTTTTTGTTGTTAAAGCTTTTCACTTGGAAGTTGCACAGTGTACTGAATCAGAGGTCAAATGACCGATGGCATAAAATCATCTGCTAACCAGAATTAGAGTCGTATAGAAGTGACCCAATCTCTTTTATTGCTTTCTCCCACAACACATGTACATTTAGCACCAGGTTTCATATTTTGAGTGTCCTATGCTCACAGATTTACATCCAATTCACTCAAATCCTTTGCTCGGCTTTTTAATATTCATGTGCAGGATGTTCACAGGTTTTGTCATGATTCAACTCTTGCTCAATACTTAAACTCCATAAACTGATCCATTTCTACTTGCTGTATAATGTTATCTTACTGCCACATAACTAAAATAAAAGCATAAGAAACTTTGGGGACTATCTGATTTTTGAAGAATTAATTTGCAAGAAAAATTTGCATTACTTTTATATTACCTTTGTAGTCACATAATTCTCAATTCCAAATAATTCAAAAATCACTGAATATGCTACTGTCCTTCACCTGGGAATATAAATAGTGAGTAGGAATGATAAAGGGATCATACTCCACAAACTGTATGTGTAAATAATAAAAGAATTTAGGGTCACACAAATGGCAGAACCTTTGGCATTGCTCATTACAAAGTGCAAACAAGAATTTGCAGTACATGAAAGATGGTGGATAAATAAGTAGAGGGAAAAAACCCTCAAGAGGTGAATAGAAAAGAAAGTAAAGGATAACAAGGAAACTGCCCTTAGGCTAGGTGGGAGATAGCATGGCGTCTTTATTCAGGGCCCTAAACTGTCACTTATTCCTTTAGATTCAATCTGATGCTGCACAGAATTACACTGTTTTTTACTCCATAAGTGGACCAGGAGTGGACAAAGAGCCCTTCAACCTGTTCTACATAGAGAAAAACACTGGAGATATTTATTGTACAAGAAGCATTGACCGTGAGCAGTACAATCAGTTTTTGGTATGACTGTTGAAATAGTTACTTAGAATTGTACCTCTGTTATTTGTTTATAATATTTCAGTATTGTTTTTGACGTATTTAAAAGTTAACTATTGGATGTAACTTTTGATATACTTTTAATACTCCATATCAACTTCCGATTCCTAATAGTGCAATTGCTCTGAAAGAGATTGTAGATATAAGCAAAAAAATAAAGATGAGGGGAAGATACACAAAACACAGTGACAGAATTTTAAAGAACAGATTTTGATCTGCAGAATTCTGGAGAAGTAACCTTTTTCTTTTAATTCAAAGTTCTCTATAATAAAGTACTCAGCTATTCTCAACTATAACTGCACGTTGTAAATGACGTGAAAACGAAAAACTTTTAAAAAATCCAGATGGTTTTCTGGGCCATGCTCAGAAATTGTGACTTCATTATCTTGGGCTGGGGCTCATTTGTCCAAAGTGATTGTGCATGTGCACACACGGTGGCTGAATCCTCACCATGAGTGCTCTGTGCTTCTTTCCTTTCCCGTCTCACTCACTGTTCTTCAGAAGTGAAATCCTTGGGTACCTTCTTATTTCCTTAGTAATCTGCTAGTCTGTCTATCTCAAAACACATTCTCTTTTGAACATTAAATCCTTTCATTATACATAACTCTTCAGGTTCCTGATGTCTAACTTGAAGTATGAGACAAAATCGCAGTAGTTTTAAGAGATACTGATGAGTGATACTGTTAAAACACTTATTATCTTGAATTATAATAGAGAAGTTCCTTGCAAAAGGAATAGTCCCAACGTCTCAACTTACAGTTCCTCTCAGTAGCTGCTGGCAGTTTTCCAAAGAGGACAGTAATTTGGGAAAATAGAGCATGAAAAGGTTGAAAGAAATCAGGTCTTTCAGGCTCCAGAAGAATTCAAAAGGTGAAAGGACTTGGCAATAGCAAGCCCATGACCTTTAAATAACAGTTTTCTAACCTGGCTAAAAATAACCTTCTGTATTTCTTATTAGTCTTGCTATACTCTCACTTAAATTTATTATTATTGCTTTTCATATAAAATAATGGGATCTGGTGGGCAAAACCATTACTTCCCTTGAGTTTTTTAAGGTCTTGCTAAAGACTAAGAAAATAGAACTTGTTATTGCATTCTGTGGATATGACTGGGTTTTCCTAAAGAATTGGACTATGTTTGATGTTCAAGTACTTTCCCAGCTCAAGTCATTCTGTGGACTGTCACAGTTTCAATGATAATGTATTTTGGAGATCATTTGCTCATGCTTGAAACAAAATCATTTCATCTGAATCAGCAGCATGTAAAATCATATTTATGTGTAGTCAAACATAAAGAGATAGTATTTTAAAGTAAAGTATTATTTATCTGGCCAAACATCTCAGAAGTGGCAGCATTTTGTGAAAGAAAAGTGCAGATCGCCCACACAGGAAGGTCTGCGGGCACGCGAGGCAGGCTGAGGGAGGTGGCCTCTGGATGTCTGGCTGTGGTGATGACGGTGACGGTGATATGGTGAAGCAGTGATGCGACAGCCCGATTTCACTCCTCAGTTTGAAGAGTTTTTGAGGAGTAAGAGTGGCAGAAATCAAAGTATAAATTTTATTATTGTAAAAACTCATAGTTGTTTGGGGGAAAAGTGAATGAGGAAATAGGGAGAAGATAGATTTTTGTGGTTCTTCTTTATACTGTTTTTAAAGTGCTGGGAATAAATAAAACTCAAGGCCCTCTGCATTCTAGTCAAGCACTCTAACCACCACCGAGTCACATCCCCAGCAGGGGATATATATATAGCCAAATGCTATGAACCCAATACTGAGGATCTGATGGTAACCGTGGCAGAGGGTTAGCAGATTGCTGAAGAATCTGATTAGGGAGTGTCATGATTAAAACTGTGTTTTATGAAAATGAAGCTTGACTTCTGAGTGCTACATAGACTGAGCAGGCAAAAATCAGTTAGGACAACTACAGGGAAGTCGGGAAGCCAGATACCTAAGGGACATTTGGAACTGCACAGAGATGATGGCTGTGAGAATAGCGAAGAGAAATTGGATGATAGGGCTGCAAAAATACCACAGTCTCTAGAACTCAGCAACTCCATAGCGAGGCTAATGAGACCAAAAGCAGTGTGGCATTTGTGATTTCAGTTCTAGTTCATTTTTGAGATGATTGTGGTAGGAAAATCAGGATGATCTCTGGTAAATAACTAAGCTAATACAGAATTTCCTTCAGGTAGGCTTAGGTGAAGAAAATATTTCATTGGAGAATACCAATGCATAAACCGTGTGAAGAGAGCCCAGAAATTATTTGATGGAATTTAAAGAGGAAAGTAATTAAATCTTGATGGCTAAGATACATGTATGCTTTCATTAACACTTTTATTAGAAAGAAATCCATGTTAATGATAGAAAATAGGAAAACACACAGAGATATTGCTTACAGATGATTGTAACTATTTATATGTATACATAAATGTATAAATAAATAATAATATTTTTAAAATGAACTTTTAAAAATACGTGTTATCAGTCTTCCTGGAGGAAATCTATACCATTTTACCAAGTAGAACAGGACACAATTAATCCAGAGAACACCTGGAGCTCATGGTGCTTGGAAGGCATGATGATGCTCGTTGGGAAGAAAATGAGAAATAACCCCTCCAGGAGACTGAAGCCCTATGGCAGGCATGTAAGCGCCTGTGTGCATCTCTCCACTGGAACCTTGCCTAGTTAGACGCCTTTGTGGATTAGTTTTTAAATGACACCTTTGCCTTGCTACTAGGTTTACTATTGTGGGTAACTTGTCATTTGAGGAGCAGCCAATGGTACCTTTTTCTTCTTTCAGGTGTACGGCTATGTGACCACTGCAGATGGCTATGCACCAGATTTTCCACTGCCCTTGTTATTTAAAGTTGAAGATGATAATGATAATGCCCCTTATTTTGAAACCAAAATGACAATTTTTAGTGTGCCTGAAAATTGCAGATCTGGTAAGTTCACATATCAGAGTGATACGATAAGAAGGAGCAAGGAGGGAGGGAAAGGCAGGGCAAAGGAAAAGGGTGTAAAAAGAATTAAGATGTGTTGTGTACATGTACTGACGGTCTCCCCACAGTGAGTGTAATTGTTTTGTGCTACAAACATGTACTAATAAAAAATAAAAATTTAAAAATAGATTGACAATAAGTACCGTAAAATGGTTAAGCTCATAATTGCATTTCATAAATTTTTGGTATTTTTAATTGCATGCACCTTTTTAAAATCAGAAATTGATGTTATATGGCATCCTTATTAAGGGTCAAATAGCTGTGAGCAAATTTTCTTAAATTTAAGCAGATGCATAATATACCTCATGTCTGACTCAGTTCTCTGTGGGTGTGGAGTGTGATTTGCATGTGTATGCTTAGACATTCTGTATTTTTTCATTTGTTTATTTATTCATTTTTTTTTCTTAATGATATTCACTAAGTCTATCTGAAGGGTAAGTGTGGGGAAAATTCAATTTTCCCTTTTAGTCCAAAACAGTAACAAAACAAGGTGGCATTAAAAACCAGTTGCAGAAACATTTTATGGGACCAAACAACAGTTTTAACTGACATATAAAATTCAGAGAGTTTGACTTTTGTAGATTATACATGCATGATAGCAATTTTTACTGAAATAATGTGTACCTTTGTGAATTCTTGTTATTAAAAGACTGTTGGATATTAACTTTTATTTTAGCCTAAGCTTTTAACCAGTGTCTAGTATGATAAAAGATTTAAAAGATTTTTGCCTCAGTTGAATTTTTCATTAATGTCTTAAACAACCATGTAGGTCAGGTGTGGTGGCACATGCCTCTAACTCCAGCACTTAGGAGGCTGAGGCAGGAGGAATATTGCAAATTCAAGACCAACCTGGGCTACAAAGTGAATTCAAGGCCAACTCAAACTAGATAGTGAGACCTTGTCTCAAAAAGACAAAAAAAATTAAAAAAATAAACAAACGTAGAATATTATAAAATGCTTGAATTTCAAGGACACACAATATTTGGTCTTCTAGTTTTGCAAGACCATATGCTTTATAAAGAAAACTGTTTTTATCCAGTTTGTAATACCTGCCAAAAAGAATACATTAAGGTTCTAAATAGCTAGATTAATCACAATGAATTTGTGCAATAGATGAGTGTTTATATTTTCTGTTTTACCCTGTGAATGTGTCATGGGTATATTTATAAAACAGTATATAACTAGAATCTTTATAAAGGCCCCTTATATTTTCTAGGACTCAGCAATATATATGGCATTATAACAACAGATGTGTATGGATTAGGTTTAGAACAACATGTATATTGCTTTCCTTGCATAGTGTCCAAACAAATTGAAATATAAATGAACTGGCTTAATGCTCTTTGAAGCCAAGATTGTGACGTAGGCCCACCAAAAAGCATGAGATATTTTCTGTTCTATTGCTACGTATGCACATACATATAACATTTGTCTCACAATCAGTGAATTGCTGATGCAGTATTCCTAATACTCTCATGTCTGAGCTGTGAAGTTTGTCTAAATGATAGACTGTTAACTAATATTACATAGTTAATAATTACTTCCATATATTAATAATTCAGCATATTTATTAAAATATAAAAATAAAGTTTCTATTTTTAAATACTAAGATACATCTCTAATTAACATCATTAGATTAGGCTATAAAAATGACAAAGTATGCCAAAAAGGTTCCATTCAAAAACAGCCCATGAACTGTGGTAGTTGGCTGGAAAAAAGAATTCAGGAGCTGCAGTTACCAAGCATTGGGTGGGGACCGTTCTCATATATGTGAAAGACAAATCCTGTTACAATAGTCACCTAATTGAAGTCCCAAGGAAGAGGAGCTTGGAGATCTTCTATAAAGCATTTGTGCACTCCTCATGTTTTGTGAAACATTTTTTGTGGCTTTGGGTACAGTTTACTGCACTAATGCTTCAGTGCTAATGTTTTATTTATAATTATATCATGCTTTCAATTTTTGACAATACTTGATTTGTCTACACAGGCACTTCTGTGGGTCAAGTGACTGCTGTAGACCTTGATGAACCTGGCACCCTTCATACTCGTCTGAAATATAAAATCTTGCAACAAATCCCAGATCATCCAAAGCATTTCACTGTACATCCAGACACAGGCGTCATTACAACAACTACTCCTTTCCTGGATAGAGAGGTAAGGGATTGGTTAGGTAACTTCTCAGTCTTTAAGCCATATAGACATTGATAATGAACTCCCAGGATAGGTTACACACTGCCATTGTGGGCTCTTCCGGAAGCATTCTTCCCTAGGCTGCAGAGCTGCTGGGTTGGTACAAAGTACTTTATCTAGAAACCTTATCTGGTTTCACTCGCTACCACTGAATTGATTGGACACATCAGTGGTAAAATTTGATTTTATTTTTATTTTATAAAAGCAATTTTATTTGGCCACCAAATATTTAATTTAAAAAAATATTAGTAAACTTTCATTTGTTAAAGTAGTTTGAGGTCTATAGGCAATTTGGCAGCAAGTACAGATATCCCTGCCTATCTCAAACTCAGGCTCCCCTAGAAGCAACGTCTGCACCCCGTGGCCCATTGTTGCAATCACTAAGGCGTATTAACACATTACTATCCCCCAGAGGCCATTGTTTACATTAGTTCCTTCGTTGATCTGTATATTCTGTGGATGTGAACAAACGCATAAGGACATACATCCATCACTGTGGTGTCATGTGGAGTGATTTCACTGTCTTAAAAATATTTTTACTCCTTCTACACATTTCTTTCTCCAAAACTCCTTGAAATCACTGATATTTTTTCTACTTCTGTAGCTTTTAGTTTTTCCAAATGTCATATAGGAGGAATCAAACAGTATGTAGCCTTTTCAGATTGACTTACTTCTCCTAGTAATTTACATTTAGGACACTTTTCTGTGTTTTTACGGCGTGGTAGGTCATTGCCTTTTAGTACTGAGAAGTGTTCTATTGTTTGAATGTACCAGTTAATACAATTATCCACTAAAGGATAACTTGACTGTTCTCAAATTTTGGCAAATATGCAAAAGTAGCTTTAAACTTTGAAATGTTATCTTAGGCATCATAGCATCTCACTGTACTAACTGGCAAATCTCTTGTTTTGTGCTTAGGTCTATGATGCTCTTTTCAAAAAACAAATTTAGGACTCCAAGTATAGAACAAGGGTGGAACATGTGTTTTGCATGCCCAACATCCTATTTCAATATATATTACATATGACATATTTTAAAATAATATTTGTAAAATAATTGCACCATGGAGTGACGATGATAATTACAAGTTATAGGAAACAGCGTACACAAATGTACCTTTTTGCTTTTGTATTTACAGAAATGTGATGCTTACCAGTTAATAATGGAAGTGCGAGACATGGGGGGCCAGCCTTTTGGTTTGTTTACTACGGGAACAATTACCATTTCACTTGAGGATGAAAATGACAATTCTCCATACTTCACACAAACTTCTGTGAGTACATCTGTTTCACTCTCTGATTCATTCCGAATTCGCTTTTGAAAAACAAATGTAGAATTTGTTAGCCATGTGAAACCACATATTTTGATTTAAAGAGTTTCTACTCACAAATAACACAAAGAGGAAAATGATTTTGGTAAAAATTCCTGAAGTGCCAGTGATTTCTGGCTGCCACAGAAATGGCAATGTTCTTTGTACCTAAGAGCTGCTTATCATTGGGGCAGTTCACGTGGTCCTTGCTTTCTGGATTGTTTGTCCCCGAGGCAGATTCTTTGGACTTAAATTATTTTTACAAGGTGAAGAAAAGGCCCTCTCACTGATGTCCACATGTCCACTAGTTGTTTTTTTGTTTTTTTTCTTTTTTCTTTTTGATACAGGATTTTACTATGTAGTTCAGGTTGGCCTAGAACTCCTTTTGTAACCCAGGTTGGCCTCCAACTCACAGAGATCCTCCTGCCTCAGCCTCCCAAGTGGTGGGATTACAGGTGTGTGCCACCACTCCAGGCTTCCAGTTCTTACAATAAGAAAGAAACTTGCTTTTTATTTTCTGTTAGAATCTAAATACATTCTCCTCCACATCCTAAAGCAGACTTTTTCTTAGGCTGTAACGAGGAAATGGTTCTTTTTTTTTTCTTGAATTTTTAATGAGTAACTTTCCACTTTTCGTTAATCCACAATGGAGTATAAGTCAAAAATGAAAAACCTGCAACTACCATGATAGTCGCAGCCATCTGATGTTTGTACATTAATTCCTACAATGTGTGAAAACGTATTTTATCTCATATTTAATAGACAGAAATAAAAGCTATGTCAATAACTTGACCATTTACAAGGAATTACTAGGGTCAAACCTAAATCCAAAAACTGTCATCCTTCTATGACTTCATTGCATGTTTTTAACAGACTTGAAATTAGTACCTTTTTAGTCTTTTAATAATTTATGCTTCTTGCAATCATGTTTTTTTTTTTTTTTTGTGGAGGAAAAAGTTTATGGCTTACTTTCTTAAAAAAAAACCAAAACCTTCTCTTAAATACCACTAAATCAAAAGAATATTTTAAGTATTAATGTGAAAGTAAGTCATCCAGTAATAAATCAGTATACATTCTCAATGTGTAAAAATATGGAGTGTTTATTATATTAATATGAAAGCATTCATTCAGTGCTTAGTTTGTCTGAAACAGAGAATAAACTGTAAAACTGTAGAAGTTCTGGGAGCAGATAAATCTGAGGGCTAAAAGGGCTTGGAAAATCATGTCAGAGATGTTCAGAGGGTAAAGTTTGTATAGAATTTGGAAAAGATTTGAAAAAAGCAGTTTAAGAGGAAAACATAAGCTAAATTTTAATTCTAAATTTTTTCTCAGTATATGGGTAAACATTTCCATATTACTTTTCCTTTAAATATAATTTTGAGTGGAAAACGGTATTGAAGATATAGATTTATTAATGTAAAATGGTAAATTTTTTTCAGTATTTTACTGAAGTAGAAGAAAACAGAATAGATGTTGAGATTTTACGGATGACGGTGCAGGACCAAGACTTACCAAACACTCCTCACTCCAAGGCTGTATACACGATCTTACAGGGAAATGAAAATGGTAACTTCAAAATTAGCACAGATCCAGACACAAATGAAGGCGTCTTGTGTGTTGTCAAGGTAAGTAAACAAAATAATGATGCAAGGCTTTAAAGAATTCTAACTCCTATTGGTGCACTGATGTTAAAAAAGTAACTTCCCACGCATACATGACTGTAACATTGCAGTAATGCTGATAGACATTGATTTACATGAACTTTATATCTTTTATTAAGATCATTTTTGTTTATTTCCTTAGAGGGAACATGACTTTCCTCGTGTTCTATATATCAAAATATCATTGTTCTATGTATAAGGAAAACAAAATCCAAGAAATACTGAATCAAATATTTGCCTCAGAAAAGATCTTAGACAGTTATTGGTTCCTCCAATCCATTGCCCTCCCTAAACTCTAACCTATCTTGCCTGGCTACTTTCTTAGAGATGTCGTGAGATGGGTGTTCTTCATGGGGAAATTGTGTTTTCTGATAAGACTTCTAAAGTGCTAATTATTATATTATATTGCATATTATTTTATTCTTTCTTTCCTTCATTTAGTTTTTTCACTTTCTAAATTTCTTTTGCTTTTTCTTTCACCCTTTATACATTGTTGCTTTCAGAAGTCTTTCTAATTATCTAGTGTAGGTTTGAGCACTTTGTGTAGCAACTAAAGGGGACTCAAAATCCCAATTGTTGGGAAGAAGCATTGCTGAGTAGCATCATGAATCTTTCAATTTAAATACTCAGAGCAACTGTTTCTATACAGCCAAATAGCTACCTGATTACTTTATATATTACCTTCGTTTTTATAATTACAGTTATCTCATACAATATGAAATGAAATAATTTGAATATTTAAAACAGTTTTTCTACATTTCAATTAATAAGCTTGTAATTAGAAAATTGAAGCTTAGATCTTTGAAAAGGAAAGTGAGAAAGAATTTGATTGACTCCGAAAATCAATAATTTTACATTTGACAGCTTTAACATTATAGGAAACTAATTAAAAAATTACATTAGCACCAACTTTTGGTAACATTTTAAATGTAAAAATGATATTTCCTTTGTGTTAAAACTTGGCATCATGATTACGGTTTTTATATAATGGTACATGTTGACTGATAAAAGTATGTTTATTGAACAGCCATTGAACTATGAACTCAATCGCCAAGTCATTTTGCAAGTTGGTGTACTTAATGAGGCACAGTTCTCTAAAGCAGCAAACTCACCACTTCCTAAAATGTGTACTACAACTGTCACTGTTAAAATTAAAGACAGTGACGAGGGCCCTGAATGTCAACCACCAGTAAAAGTTGTTCAGAGTAAGGATGGCTTCCCAGCTGGCAAAGAGATCCTTGGTTATAAAGCACTGGACCCGGAAACACGCGATGGTGCCGGCTTAAGGTGATGTACTTTTCAAAAGTTCCTTAATTTTAATAAGAGTGTAAATTGATTTTTAAATTTTGGATAGCTCTATGTCTATTTTAAATGACAGTTCTTAAGATCACGTTTTCTCTTCTACTCAATTGCTTATCTTTGATTTCTGCAAATTAGGTATAAAATGCTAAAAGATGAAGGTGGCTGGTTTGAGATTGATGAAAACACTGGAAACTTGAAAACTGTAAAAGAACTAGATAGAGAATCAAAATTTGTAAAAAACAACCAGTACAATGTCTCAGTAGTAGCGATGGATGCAGGTGAGTGACATTTTCTAGAAGTAAAACGTAAGTAGAGAATATGTTTCTAAGAAAACCTGAGATGAAATCTGTTTATTTCCAAAATCTAATGCAAACAGTATTTGCATTAATGTAATCACAATGTGTAAGGTAAAGCATTATGGTTGCTTATTTTACTGGAGCCGACTTGGGCAGCAGCACAGCCACAGGGCAAAGCTACAGAGAGCAAATTGTCGAAGTCTAAGTTTGCAGGATTGGATTACTTGATTTACGATGAGGAAACAGTGACGTATTAAAGGATCTCCAATTTTTTAATGAGTACAGGTTTAGATCTTCATGGTTTGAACTTGGTAAAAAGGATCAACCTGTGTAATATATGTAGGTTCTAGGTAGTTTTGTTCGAAGCTGTTCTTAATGGAGAACAAAATCATTTGTCCTATTTCTTGAACAAAGGAGCAAATGATAACTCCTTTTTTGCCGTGGTTTGCAATCACTCTGGTTGATGCTAGGATCTTTTTTGTAAAGAATGTTCTTCAAACATTGTAGTGATCATAAAACCCCTTTAAACATATATGCCTATCAGTAAACCATTTTAATATGTTTATAAATGTTAGAAAGGGTTTCTAGTGTCTATTTCACTTTCATGTATCACTTTGCCAATATACTTTATCAAAGGCATACACAAAATAAGTATAAAAATATAAATAGAATTTACACTATTTTATATCATCATGTCAATTACATATAAACCATTTGAGATAACTGTGTTTTTCTGACAGAGCGAGCCTGTTGAGCCTACCTAACCCAAGAAAGTGTTCATTGCTTTTATGTACATAAGCCAAATGTTCAAATCAAACTAGTTGATACAGTAAAGGTATAGCCTATCTTTAAATCATCTTTGTAATGCATGGGCACTTGTAGGAATAAATACCTATCAAATTTCATAGAAATTAGCTAAAGTTGAAAGTAAGTATTGAAACTTCATGTTTAATATTTTTGTCTAATATTTTGACAATAAAATACTCATATAGTGCTGTCTCAGATATTTTAATCCTATTTTTTCTGCAGTTGTAAAACAAAAACCTCTAGAATGTATTATTTTATATGCCTCCCACCAAGAGTGTCATAGCCTTTCCTGTTTGAAAGTAGTTTCTTTAAAGTAGTTTAAGTGAATGGTAATAACTTCTGAGATTGTTCCTACTGGTCTTTGGTCAGTTCTTAAAGAGTTTTAATCATTTACACTGGGAAAAATGTGCTAGGCTGGTGGTGATGTGTTTTCACTCTAAAAGGATATTTCTATTGTTCTCCTGTGCATTCTGCTCTCCTGACTAGTTTGAGGTCAATTTTGTACAAGCACCCTTTGTCTTTGATTAAGCCATACCTTTACCAAATATCTAATGGAGAATTTGGCATATGTTTGTTTAAGTGGATATTGAGATCTGTCATTGTACTCTTTGAGTTTGTGAAGTTCCCCAGTTTGGGGAACATCATTGGTAGTACTTAGAACAAATGATTTCAATGTAGAAAATTGAGTTTAAACATTGCAAAATATGCTCTTACTCTGGGCGTCGATAAAAGGAATTTTCTTAAAATAGCAAATAATGTTGGGCTGTTGTGTGGAGGTGTGTACACACATTTTGTGTGTAGATTGGAAATTACTAGGACCCGTTATTGTAGCTCAAGAAGAAGGAACCTAAAATCTTCACACATGCAGCAGGCTGATGCATGTAGTGAGCTTCTGGTTTCTAAAAACACTTAAATAGCAATGGAGTACAATGTTTTTCAGAATTACACTTTGTTGAAGCATCATGAGATTGGGTTTATTTAGCTTATAATATACTTACCAGCTCTGTGACTATGACAGTCCCTATTCACCAATATTTGTCATTTGCTTATGTACTTAATTTTAAAATAAGCTTTGAAGGGGCTGGGGGTTTAGCTCAGTGGCATAAGTGCCTGCCTTGCAAGCAGGCAGTTGTGAGTTCGATCCCTGGTAACGATAAAAAGGAAAAAGACAAAAAAAAAAAAAAAAAAATAAGCTTTGAAGTAGACAAATATATCTGGTTGCCTTTCAACTATTATCATTAATCACATTTGGTTCAGTTTCCCAGAGGCAAAATGAAATGTTACTGTGGCTCTTTCTAGTTTTGGAAATCAAGACTTTATTTTCAGGTGTGATTTTGACTGATATCTATTTTAACAATTTCAAGAATCTTTCATTCTGTTTTCATCAACTACCTTAAACACAGAAACCATACTAACAAATAATGCCATGTGATAAATGTTAAATATAACTTTGGTTTCCTTCAGCTGCCATATATTATTAGATGCTACAGTGTGATTCCATTCTACTTTTTCCATTGAGAAAGATCATCTACTTAAATTTAAAAAGCAAAAATATAGAACATGTGTCAACTTACGTTGAGTTTGTGAAGTCTCTGTAGCAACTTTTTTTAAGAAAAGCTTCCTATAAGATGTGGCGGCACAGGCCTATCAGTGAGCCCAGGAGAAAGCTGGAGGATAATTTGAGTTCAGCCTGGGCAACTTAGCAAAACCTTATCTAAATCAAAACAACAAAGCAAGAGAAAAAAACCAAAATGAAAGGCTTCCTTTTTCTATAATTTATTTCTTTGTTAGTTTTTCTGATTTGGAAGTTTTTGCTTATATTCAGATTTACTTACAATTTTCTGGCAGTCTGAAAATGTTGCAGGTTTTTGTCATTATAGGCTTCTTTTAATAGACATATGTCTCTTCAATTTAGAGAGATATTTTAAAACTTGGTTCAGATAGAATAAATATATCCAATAATTTCATATAAGTAACTAGTTTAAAAATAACTATGCATAAATAATTTTGTCATTAATTAACAGAAAAATTATCTGAACTACATTACACAGTATGATTTAGGGGTTCTTTCAAACTAACAAGAAAAAAGGGGTTATATTTGCATAGGATTTATAGTGTTTATGATAAATTCAGCATACATATTTCAGTATTTTGGGCCAGCATAAATGTAAGACAATGAGAAATTAGATCAGTTATCATACTTTCATTTGATTCAAGTTAAAATCATATCATTCATGAAAGTGTATTTTTCTTTTACAAATGATAGAACTTGAAGATGTTTCCAAACTTTGCTATTTCTAAAACACTCACTATAGGCTGTACTTTAAATATTTCTTGAGATTTATATGTGAAATATTGGGCTAACAATAGCAGCAGTCAATAGATAAGTAAGAGACAGCTCTGGTTAACAAGAACATATTTCTAAATTTTTTTATTTTTTTTGGTACTGGGTATTGAACTCATGACCTTGCACTCACCAGGCAGGCACTGTGCTGCTGAGTTATATCCCTGGCAACAAGAAGAACATATTAATTGAAATAGGGTCAGGGTACAAATCAAATTTTCTGGCTTATTCAGTTGCATCTTTTCCCAGCATAAAAAGCATAACTGCATTATGTTCAGTGCAGTAGCACTGGTTTTCAATTGGTCAAGAAACACCAGGTTCCTCGGGTAAGAATACAGTGATATGTTGGTTCCTGAATGCTTTTGTTTGCAATTTGGTTTGCAAACAGAAGCATTTGGCAAATTTTTTGCTGTTGTTTGTAAACTCTACATTGGGTGACGAACACGGCTGTGATCATCTTCCCCACACAAACACAAATGTGGCCATCTTTTCTAGAATCACAGAATACATTAAGTTCACAAACCGAGGTACCACTCTGGGTCTTACCAAGCTTCAAGAGGAGAACAAGGTTGGCCTGGGGAAGTAGAGAACATGCTTAGCATGGAAGAAGCTCTGGGGATAAAGTAAAATCAAAATAAAATAAGTTTTATCAAGCAAAGTGTTCTGGGAAGGGGCAACAAAAATGTGCCAAAGTGTATAGGAAAGAAAATACCTAGATGGTTTGATAAGAAGTTGCATAAGTTTTGAACAAAAGATATATAAGGAGAAAGAGAAGAGACTGAACAAATAACCAATAACCAAATATCAAATACTTTTATTCTAGGGGTGAATATATGCCTTTATAAAGAATGCAAGAAATCAATTTTAGACAGATTATTTATTTACATTCTTCATAAACTCCACACCTTTCAGTGGTTTTTCTTTTTACTTATTTATTTATTTATTTTTGTGTTTTGAAACAAGGTCTCCTTATGTAGTTCAGGCTGGTTTTGAACTCACTACGTAGTCCAAGGCTGGCCTCAAACTTGTGGCAATCTTCCTGCCTCAGTCTCCTGAGTACTGGGATTATAAGCATGCACCACCATACCCAGTTACCTTTGAGTGTTAAAAAAAAAAAAAAAAAAAAAAAGCACCCGGAAAGATATCTTACCGCCCACCAGTCTTCCAGAGAGAGCGGCATGACATGGTTTTATAATAATTGTGTCTGAGATCCAGGAAGCTATTTGAAAGCAAGTATCATCTGTATATTACATAAATTATTGAAAATAAACACACAACTAAGTGGAAAAATCGCGTATTTTTGATTTATCTTAGTTGGCCGATCCTGCACAGGAACATTAGTAGTTTTCTTGGAAGATTTAAATGATCACCCACCACAAATTGACAAAGATGTCACCATTTGTCAGCACAATCAAGATTACGCTATTCTGGAACCGGAAGACCCAGATGGGCCTGAAAATGGTCCACCTTTTCATTTCCAGCTGGATAGTTCTGTCAACAAACTTTGGACTGTAGAATCAAAGGATGGTAAGAAATTCTGCTAAATCTTTTAATCAATATGGGTTCAAGATGTCTGATTGTCTTCACTATTATCTTAGTTAATCATGAAATACATGTTCATTTTGGGAAATTTTTTTATTGACCCTAAGAACAGAATACCATATATATTACATATAAAATTCTATACATAAGTTATATATACATTATATATATTACACTTAGATTCTTGTTAAAGTATCTCTTACAAGAACATAAGTTCATTTTATATAACCATTTGCATAACATGCAAATGTAGATTAGTGTAAATTAGTCTAATGGGAGCATAAAATAATATCAATATTTTTCTCGTTCTGTGAGAAATCAAAATAATTTTTAAGAAGAAAAAAAAAGGATTCATGAATGCTTTATTTCAAATTAATCCCTCTCAATAATGCCAATGGAAATACTATTGCTACTGAAGTGTCATGTACCTATACATTCTCTCTGCGTTTTTTTCTAGGTAAACGTGCCATTCTTCGTGGACGGCAGCAACTCGAAAATAACTATTATTCTGTGCCTATCCACATACAAGACAGACATGGCATTTCTGCAAAACATATCTTGTCAGTGAGAGTCTGTGACTGCACGATTCCCTCTGAATGCAGAATGAGTGTGGTGGATGACAGGGATGTTAAAGTGCCAAGCTCAAACGTAATTCTTGGAAAGTGGGCGATTCTCGCCATGATTTTAGGTTCTGCATTGTTACTGTGTAAGTGCCATTATCTGAAAGTCTTAACTAAAATTTTGCCTAATTCTCATGTGTTAGCTTATTTTACTATTAAAAAAAAAAGTAACTGTGGTAACAGTTGATAAGAGGAAAGGTTTATTTTGGCTCGTAGTTTTAGTCCAGGGTTGATTGGTGCTGCTGATTTGAGTCAGTGAGTGGAATCACATGATATTCAAAGCTACTAACTTCATGAAACTGGGGGAAACAGACCAGAAGGGGGAAAGGATTCAGTGTCCCCATTAAGAGCACATCTTAGAGATGACTTCCTTTCATAGACTCCACCTCCTATTGAGCCTCCCAACAGTGCTCAAGTGGGGTCCAAGCCTTCAGCTCATGCACATACCATTTGGAAGCACACTTAGCAAATGATGTCAGTTTAGGACAAAATATATGGCGATTCTTCATATTAGTGACATGGATAACCTTTGGCACATGTGTCCTCTTAAAAGCATTGGATCTACTTTATAAGTTGTAGTTCTGAGTCATAAAAGAAATATCAATTAGCAGCAGATTCAAATGTTTAAGTTTCAAGGGTAGTAGCCTTAGTTCGTTAATAATCACCTGTGAGCCACATTTTCCCATGAGTAAAATGAAGAAGCTGGATAAGATTATTAAGAGTTCTTCCTTTATTAACTATTACAGTCTTTCAAGCAGCCAGGTTTACCGAGGGAACACAGAAGTACAAAAAGAATTAGTGAAAATAGCACAGTTCCAGAGACAGTTTGCATTCCACACTGTTAATGAAGTAGTTTAGCTAACATCATAAGAAAACACCAGTGAGGGAAAATGGTCCTAAAATGAACCATCGCAAAACAGTAATGCATGCAAAGATGCAAAGGAAAGTAAAATTATGCACTCTTAAAACTGTTCTTTTGGAGATGTAAAAGTAGTAAAAACATTCCTCATATTTAAATGTCTCTTATCTACAAGAAAGCATTGCATTCACAACTTATCACTTAGCCTTTAGTTCATTTTGGTTTGAAGTTCAAATGGAGCTAAATGTTCCTGTTAGCAACGTATTAGTTGATGAATGCTTTCAAAAACAGATGTTGATTTTTTTTTTTTTTGTCTTTTTCCTTTTTATCGGTACCAGGGATCGAACTCACGACTGCCTGCTTGCAAGGCAGGCGCTTATGCCGCTGAGCTAAATCCCCAGCCCCCCAGATGTTGATTTTAATTCCCTTTCTTGTTATACTTCCACCTAAAGTTCTGTGCTTTTTGTTCTAAGCCTTTTAAATGCATTACATATAATTTTAAATACCAATAATACTATCTTCGATTTCAGTCAAAGTTACCATTTCAATGTAGAAGAAGTAAGAGATACAAATAAATTAATTTTGAACCTGAGAAATAAGCTAATATTAATCTAAAGCAGAGATGATTAAATAACTAATGCATTTTTAAATATTCTTTAAGTTTTATGCCTAAGATTGACTTCAGTTTATTAAATGAATTTTAAAAATTTGTACAGAGAAACTTTTAAAAAAATCTTATAATCAAATTATTCAATATATACCAACAGGAGAAAGAATTTCATTTCGATTTTTAATTCTTTAGGTATGTTGTTTACATGTTTCTGTATTACTACTAAGACAACAGTAAAGAAACGTTTTCCAGAGGATGTAGCCCAGCAAAACTTAATTGTATCAAATACTGAAGGACCCGGAGAAGAAGTAACGGTAACTCAGATTTCAATTCCCTTTGACTTCTATGATGACCCAAGGATGAGTGGCTTAATATATAATAATGGCAGTAATCACCTGGGCACAATGTTTACAGAACACACATTGTGCCAAGCAGAGTTTGAGGTGCCCTGCACATTCTGACCCACTTAAACCTCACAGTCTCATTGCATTTCCCTCAGAGGACTGCCATAACAAACTGAATGACTTAAACAGTGGAAGGCTTTGGAAGGTAGAAATCAGACACACAGGTGCTGGCTAAGGCTGTGTCCCATTTGAAGGCCGTGGGGAAAATGTGGACCAAGCCTTTTTCCTAGCTTTTTGTAATATCTGAGCGTATAGCAGCATAAATCAAATCTTCATACAGCATTCTCCCTGTGTGTTCAGATCACTTGCTTTCGTGAGGAAGCATACTGGTCAGACTAGATCAGGTATCTTGTGTATGACTTCATCTTCACTTAAGCAACTGTGTCTGCAATGACCCTGTTTCCAAATAAGGTCACATTCTGAGGCACTGCTGGTTGGGGCTTCAACACACACATTTTTAAGGGACTCAGTTCAACCCATAACATCTATGGTATGGCTACTATATGATTCCAATTTTACATGTGGAGAGCTGAAACAGCAGGTAAATGATTTGTCTTTGGTAGGGAAGAAAGTGAACTGTCAGTTTCATCTTGATTCGCTCATTTTATCTGTAACTTTACTTTTAGGAAGCGAACATTAGACTCCCTATGCAGACATCTAACATTTGTGACACAAGCATATCTGCTGGTACTGTTGGTGGCCAGGGAATTAAAAGACAGCAAAGCTTTGATATGGCCAAAGGAGGCTACACTTTGGAGTCCAGCAAAGGAGGTGGCCATCAAACCTTGGAGTCCACAAAGGGAGTGACAGACATCGGCAGATACACCTACACCGACTGGCAGAGCTTCACCCAGCCTCGGATCGGCGAAGTAAGTGCCAGTGTCTTCAAGTTCATGTCACATGAAGTGAAGCATTATCAGTCAGGGGATTTCCCCAAATTATACTACTCATACACCTGGGACACATTACACTTCAATTCTTAATTAGTATAAATGCGATGCGAGCTCCAAAGTCAAAGAGCAAAATGACTTCCTAACTTCAACTTTGAAAATATAGTTTACTATACTTCATCTAGGTATAGTGGATGGGAATGTATCTAGGAAGACTAAAAGCTGGTCGTTCTTTCTTAACAATTACCAAAGGAACCTTCTCCAGGGAAATATTTGTTGCAATGATCAGATCATGAATCATCCTATTTGTCAGTGTGCTTGAGTTTTGCAAGTAGCTATGAAGATCTGGCTATTTAAACTAGCAGACAGATGATTAAGCTTTCATTTGGGGTTTTATTTACTAATTTTGTTTTTGCTGTTTTTGTTTCTTTTTGGCTCAGATTAACCAGGATATCTTGATAGCCAATTTAACATATTTCAGTATTATAACCATACACTAGTCTGCAAACATAAGAATTATTGTCTATATTGGCTTTGATTCTGCACATACATGAAAAATCAACAGAGATAAATTTCAGCTATACGCATCTTATGTTCAAATGGGAACTTGGAAATGAATTATGTGATGTATGTGTCGCCTTATTTTCATAGATGTGTTCACGAGGGGCATTGATTTATTTGCTATATTTTAAGAATGAATATAATACAGACCAATCATGTGCATTTTTTATATGTAGGAATCCATTAGAGGACACACTCTGATTAAAAATTAAACAGTAAAAGGTAAATCCAAGACATCATTTTTACGCAAATCTGTTTAGGTGTTTTTTAAAAAACAAATAATAAAATGTGCTCTTTCTCCATACAGAAAGTGTACCTGTGTGGGCAAGACGAGGAGCACAAACATTCCGGAGACTACGTTCGCTCATACACCTACGAGGGCAAAGGTTCTTTGGCCGGCTCGGTGGGCTGCTGCAGCGATCGGCAGGAGGAAGAAGGGATGGAGTTTCTAGACTACCTGGAACCCAAATTTAGGACGTTAGCAAAGACATGCATAAGGAAATAAATGCGCCTTTTAGGAGAGTAACATCTAAAATGCAGGTGTGGGAGTCTATGGGATAGCAAACGATGACAGCAGCCTCTGCTCGGGATTCTGCCTAGCGGAGGGAGCTGTGTTTATTACTGTAACTACGAGGCTCCCCCAGCTCTCCGAGTCCGCCAGGGCTTCCGCATCCCTCCAGGCCAAAGCTGCACCGCCCGGTCTCTGTCCTGCTTGTACATACTGCTCTGTCCTTTTAAGACTGCACAGGGTATGCTCTCGCACCTTCTATGGATTTGAAAACTGCCGCTGCCTTGTACGCTGTGAAAAGTCTGTGCAAGGGTTGGGTATTGCGAAGGCTATTCCGAATGAATTTTCACTTTAGATGTACAAATTAAAATGTTTCTTCAAAATCACGGGGAAAATTATGATTTGGGGCTTATTTTCTTTAGCGCCAGAGAAGGATGGTATTCTTAAGTGTGGCCTTCTGTTGGTAAATGAGTTCATTTCTTACTTCCTTCCACTCCTCAGAGGAGGGTCTCCCAGGACCTTCAGAGCTTAGTCCTGGGGTTGTTGCCCAGGTGATTGTGCTGCCTGGTACCTACAGCCTCAGGATTGTAGGAAAAACCTAGACTAGTAGCATGGGCAGCAGAGACTTTGCCGAGGATTATGTAAAAGAATTGCAACCCTGATGCCTGTGAGTTAATTTAGGCTCTAAAGTATGTTTCACAGGGATTGGTGGCTCACACCTGTAATCCTGGCACTTAGGAGGCTGAGTCAGGAGGATTGTCACAAATTCAAGGTCAGTTTAGGCTACACTGAGTTCAAGGCCAACCTGGAACACGTGAGAAGACCCTGTTTCAACCCTGCCCTCAAATGTTTCATATGTCTAACATGACTTACTAATAAGTCTTTAAAAATATAAATATATTGGCAAACCCTTTTAACCTCTGGTTGGACACAGACCTCACCTCAGTGGCTTTCATCCTGTACATCCAAGCATCTGTACAATGAGTCCTGAAGGCATCAGACTACAATTCTGACACACAAAGCTTGGCACTTTCTATATGGTAAAAATTTAGTTCACTTCTACATTAGAATTTAATATTCAGTCTACATTGGTAATTACTCTTTTAAAATGGAAAATCAGAAATAGTAGCTAACACCTATATGAATGCATTAAAAAATTAAAACTTATTATAGCAACAATGACCACGCATTCCTTGAATGTTGGATAAATGTACAAACACAAAAGTAAATTATTTTGAAGTCATACAATTTTAATGGGATGTAACATTTTACTCATCTAGAAATAAGATATATATTTAAGTAATCTCTTAGTCACTTGTGGCAAGCTCTGTAAAGCTATGCAGGATAACAATATATATTATGTGGAAATTTCTCAAATTAAATTGTTTTGTTTAAACTATTCACTAGCTGTCCTTAAAAAAAGTGATCTTTTTTGTTCTTGTAAATTTTTTGGCTAGTCTTACAATCTCAGTTTCTAAGGAAAGGTGCGTCTCAATAAGAAATTGGATTTTGGAGCAAAAGAAAAATGTAGCTTTAATAAGCCAGATTTGGTCTTATAACATGTTTACTATGTATGAGTTTTACAGTCACTGTAAGGTTATAGGGGAATTTGTACTGTTTGACATAAATGTTACTTGGACAGTGATAGGAGTTTTGAAATTTAAAATATAGTATTATAAATTTGAATATATCATAGTATCATAAGTTGTATTTTTGAATGTAGATATAGTTGTTCTATGAGTAATTAAAAGTATTAGCTGAATGTTAACTTATATGTGCTCATTTTCCTATTTCTTTGTGACTTGCTTAAACATGTAACAAAAAATCAAGTATAAAGTTTGTGTAATATCCTGAGGCGGATTTCTCAGTCAGCAACAGATGATGTTCTGAAGGATTACTAGAATGTTGGAAATGAATTTTTATTAAGAAGTTTGAATATTTAAAATATTTGGAAGTATTATTAAAATTTATCCCACAAAGAAAGATCAAAGAATAACTTGATTAATGTCTTTAGGCAATTTAATGTCTTTAGGCAATTCAAAGTCATTTTCTGTTTAAACTCAATAATACATGATAATTGTATGATTGATGAAATTTATGAAACTCCATCAAACTGTTTAAAATTAGTTTGTTAATAAAATACTTTATTTCATATAAACTGATTGTGAGTTATTTGACTGTAAATTAATAGTTCTGAATTGGCTTTCTATACTGAAATCTATAGTTAGGCGTCTTGGTTACTTTTCTCCCATTGTTGATACAAAATACCTGACACCCAAAGTGAAGCAAGGGAAGGTTTATTTCTTACAGTTTTGGGGGTTTCAGTCTGTACTCAGTAGGCTCCAAGGTAGGATTCCATGGTGGGGCAGCCATTCATGGCCACTGCAAACACCAAGAGTGAACACCTTCTTCCTGCCCTTACACTATATGCTGGCTCCACCCCTGTGCGGGTACAGCACTCACACCACCAATCCCAGTGCCAGACAATGAACCAATCATGAACACCAGACTCAGTTGCATCCATGATTATCTGAGGCTTGAGGGGGTCATTCAACCACAAATCATAACATTAGGGAAATAAGCAGTCCAGTTTTCCTTATCTTGATTTAGATTTCAAGTATTTCTGTTGAAAGAATTCCTTAGGGACACCAAGACAGAAATCTCTGTAATTTTTATAAATGAGCCTCAAGAAGTACTTCTAAAGCCTACTGAAGTTTGAGCTGCTTCTAATTTTATTTAAAGTACTTCCTAAAACCTGATATCTATGCACATCTTTCCTTGCAGAAAATATCATATGATATGTTATTTGGAAAATGCTAAAAGTAGCTGTTTTAGAGTTGAGGATTTTTGTTACTCTGTTCTATAACATGTTAATCATAAAAATCCTGTATTAGTTGAAAATCTTACATGAAATGAGTTGGAACTAGCAATGCATATTCCTGCCTTTCTCCGTCTCATCTATCTGCCTGTCTTGAGAGAGACATCACGGCTAGACCCTAGGGCTTTCATCTTCCTACTTAGGTAGGGAAAGAGAAATGAAACATAGCAAGAGTCTAAGAATGAGCAGACCCTTAACAATTTTGTAGAGCCCAGTAAAATTAAATGAGAATATTTTTTGAATCCTTGAAATATATATTTACATAGAAGATAAAGAAATCTGTATGTTAACTGAATCCTTATTACCAATCCCATACCTATTTTCAAATGGATATAAATAGACCAATGTAAGGGTTTAAGTATTATGAAAACAAGTATGTGAGGCACATTCATAGTATGTATTTTTAGGCAGATAAATTGTTTTATTATCTCCATTTCTTAAGGATTTGACTGATGGGACTAAAATATCCTTTGGTAAGCCAATCTACAGAGTTAGAAGTTACTTATTCTTTAATTTCAGAGCATAAAATAAAAGCATGGATAGCCTTGCTCTGACTTGCATTTTTCTCTGAGAATATATAAGATTTTAACATGTGTTTCATTTAATTCTCAGCGTACAATGGTGAATACCTTTAACTGTGGAAGTTTTTATGAGTGTGTATGTGGGAGGGCTAGGGGTTGAGCCCAATGCCTTTGCAACTGAGCTACATCCCCAACCTTTTTTGTTTCACCAAATAACTAAGTGTCTGGGCAAGGCTCCAATGTGCAATTCTCCTGCCTCATTTTTCCAAACACTGGAATTACAGGCACACACTACCATATCCGTATTAGGCTGTGTTTCTTGTCTTTAGATCCATACTAAAAATATTTGTTTCTGCCGGTCATAGGACTTAACTAAAGGCCTATGCTCTACCACCGAGCACTCTCAGCACCTCTGCCTGACCCTAAATGACTGATCCTGGAAATGAGACTGCTGGCCCAGCAGCATCAGCTGGGGACTTGTCAGGAAGGCAGATTCATGGGTCCCAGCTCAGCCCTGCGGAATAGGAAGCTCTGAGGGTCAGACCCCTGTGTTGAGCTGTTTCAGTGACCCAGGGCTGTTTCTGCCCTTCACATCTGGGAAGGCCTGACCTTGCACTCTTCCCCTCTGCACTGGCTCTGCGACACCCACCAGCTTTTCTGAATCCAAATCAACATTTTACCAGCTTTTCTGGGGAGCTGAGCAGGCACACAAAACTCTGATAAGCGTGACACAAAGGACCAGGCGAGAAGACACAGCACAGGCTAGCAGGTGAACAGCCATCTGGCAGGAGCCGCACAAGCACCCTCAGCGGAAGGTGGTGGCCCGCAAGGTAAGCAAATGTGCCTGGCTGAGCTGGAGACCCAAAGGCAGCTCAGCCACTGGCTCAGGGGGCAGCAGCTCTCCTGTGCTCTCTGATTCCTCTGCACCTGTAATGGCTTTCTGTGCTACATGCTGCGTGCTGGAAGGTGTTCACTGATGCAGAATGAAACTGAATTTGACACCTTCCTGAGGGGCAGCTTGATCGCCTGTGGCCGAAGTGGTGCAGGGACAGACACACGCGTGACCCTGCTGTTCTGAGCCACCCTGCACAGACCTAGGAATTACGGCCCTGGCAGGGTAGTGTGAGATGACTTTCTCCCCATTGCACTTAGTAAAGTTAATTCATGAACTCATATTTAAGAAAAATCACAGTTTGTCAAATTCACATTAGTTTCTGAAAGGATTTTGCTCCAGATGGGACACTGTAGCCAATAGGAGCCTGGGAGGCAGAACCAAGGAGCTCTGTCTTGAGGTCACCTTTCCCACCCTTAAGCAATTTACCTGTGGCACGAAATGAATACCAATGCCCCTTAGGCACCACCCCAAACCTAAGCTACATGTGTGCCCCCACACCATGTGTCTGGCAAAGAGAATGCCAGACCCCAGAGGTCATGGAATCTCTCTCCACATTCTTAAAATAAAGGCCATTTTTATTTCATACTTCTTATCTTTTTAGCCATGCCGAAAAGTCTATTAGATGGTTTCCTTCTGCGCTGAAAACTCTATCAAATGGTTCCCTGACCAGGAACGGTAGACAAGAGACTGCTGATGAGTCCCCTGCTGTTCACAGACTGGGCTGCATAGTAGATTAATTCCTCACTTCTGAACACGCGGGAGCTGCTAAACTTGTTGCTGCTGGTTTGCAAACAGCACCAGTCTAATTCATTTACCACAGGTGAGCAAACTCTGGAGATTACTCAGCGACGCTGGGCCAGGCCCCACATGGGTCTTCTTCCCGTTCCCTGGACTCGAGTGGTGCTCTCTTGTCTTTAGACAGCCCTGAGGCAGAGCTTTTACTGTAAGATCTCACATCCCTTAGAGCCCTAAAGCTCTCATGGTCAGAGCCGTTACTGTAATCCATGGGAAACCACTCATGCCTTTGGTGACGACCAAAAAACATGTGCTTTGGAACCAATTACTGATTACCATTCGGTCTAAGAGGTTAAGGTGACAACCTGACCTGGTTAGACCACGGTCCGTTGCCTCACCTGACTGTGACTCCGTGGGCTGGGCCCCACACCGGATTTTCTTATCTTGGGGACTGCTTCCTGTCCCCCTCAAAACCATACCTATTTATAGCTTATCATACTGACAGACAAGTTTGCAAAAATTCTCCATCTTTGGGTCTCTCCCTCTGCTCCTTCAGGATCCCTCTCCCTCCCAGCACTTAGGAGATAACTTCTTTCTTTACAGCCTTTCCCCTATATCTCACACACCAAACTCTGCAGCTTTCTCAGCGTTCTCCTTTCCTCCCTGCTTCACCCATTTTTTCAGTCCCTTCCCACGCTGTGTGCTGACCTGCCTTTCCCACCAGGATGGGGGAAATGCACCCAGGCAGTGTTGGGGGAAGTGCGCATGGACAGTGTTAGACTGCCCGCTGGTGATGCAGACGACACTGGTGGCACAGATGGGGCATACATGGCGCACCAATCAGCATGGCTTGCATGGGCTGCTCTGGGCCCTCACACTGCACCCCAGCTCCATGCCCCGCCCACCACCCTGTGTGCGCCACTCCCCACCCTCCATGCTCCGTCCCTGCCCTGCACACTCCGAGCATCTCCTGAGCAGTCCCAGCCCTCACCCCTGAGCGCAAGCACGGCTCTGAGCGCCAGCACGGAGAAAGAGACAACAGGTCGAAGCGGGCAATTCATTGTTACTGATCTGATGGTATATTCATGCTTTCAAATATAAAATTGGGATTGTTTCTGCTGTCTTTTTCTTGTGTTTCAGCCAAGAAATACAAATCAGACCAACATGAGTAAACCAGTCAAATAATTTTTAAACAAAAATTTATGTAATATATGATGACGAATGTTTTCTTTCAGATCCAGACATATGCTTGGAGATGTTTCACAAATTTCTTCAGCATTCAAATGTTAAAACACTCATGGTTGATAGACATTTAATGTTCTATGTTAAGCTTACTGCCTATATTGTACTGTACCAATCTTCTAGCTGTTTAACAACAGAAATTAAGAGGTAACTATAAATTCCTTTTTCTGGGATCCACTAGATCTTTTCCAGAACAAGACCAACGCTGAGGCAGAAGCCAGACTTGAGCCTTTCCCAGCCTGTCTGCCTGCCCTGGCTCTGTCCTCTGCTGAACCATAATTAACTGTACTCAACTGGCATTAAATGATACCATAGCTGATCTATCTCCTAAATAGAAAGGTAAAATTAATAAAACAGGCCATCCTCCAAAAATCAGATGGCATTAGACATTTTAAAAGCATAAAGAGATACTTATGTAAAGTTATAATCATAAATACCCTGTTGATTATATTTGACTCCTGCATACTTAATTAATTCTACAGATACCTTCTACTGTGGACCAGATTCCAAGACAAAAGGCTAAACTTGGCCCTCAAACCCCACAGGGAGACCTTCTTAATATGGCTTCATGTTTTCAACCACAGAGATAAAAAAAAAATAATAATCTGATCTTTTAGCAGTGACACTTGGAGTTCTGAGACAGGTAAACCTATACAAGATGCAGCTGCCTGAGCCCACCCCTCCCCATGGACCATGCCTCAAATGCAGCAGGACATTGGGCAAGAGAGTGCCCCATCCTGGGATTCCTTTGGGGCCTTATCCCAGGGCTACTGGACTGTCCTAGCCACCAGAGAGTAAGTAAGCCATCCTAACTTCTAGCCCTCACAGAAAATGCCAACACTGCCAGATTCATTGCTGACAGATCTGCTTGGACTTGCTGCTGAAGGCTGACGGGGCCCACAGCCCCCATTAAGGTGTCCTCAGAGTCCCAAGTCCCACTAGAGGTCTCAGGTAAGACATTCTCTATACTTGTGGACATAGAGGCCATGTATAGGGTTCTTCCTGAGCTTTCAGGCCACTGTATTAAGTCCTCAGTCTCTGTAGGGGGTACTGATAGCCAACCTATGCAACCTGTACAGACAGGGCCTATTTCGTGCAGGTTCCACTGCTTCTTAAACCTACCCATTCAGCCTATAATACTACTATTCTCCTGGTACTCAAGCCTGATGGGTTCTATCATCTGGTACCAGACATCAGGGTAGTCAATAGTGCTGCTGTTACCTCAATCCATCCAGTGGTGCCAAACCCTTATACTATGCTTTCATATCCTTCCCTCCACCACTCACTCTACAGTCCTAAATCTTAAAAATGCCTTTTTATTCCTTTGTGTTTATGCAAACTGATCCAGACACTCTGAGGTCTCAACAGCTTACACCTGTTATCGCTAGTAAAACCTCTCCTCTGGGATATATTTCACCCCCTTCCTTTCTCATTCACCAATTTCTCAGACACAACCCTGGTCAAGACTGACAGATAAATTTTATCTTCTTGCCTTTGTTTATACTTTTTCAGGATACATAAAAGCTTCTCCCACAACCAGGGAGACTGCTGATAAACTTACTAAAGTCCTGTTACAGCAAATCATCCCAAGGACTACAACCAAGTTAGAGTGGCCCATACCTGTTGTCTTCTCGGCAACCTCAAAAACGGTCAAAGTTGCTGACTGCCATCCTGGTTTCACACCACTCAGGCTAAGTGGTGCCCTTCCAGCCCTAGATCTAACCATCTTTTTGCCCACTCATCTCCACCTCACTAAGGCCTCACAGCCATACCTCTCAGGCTGTCATGTTTTGCTATCCAATTTGGTTCCTAATTTCTTATCCTTTTTACAGCAGGACTCTCAACAGTATTTCCTAAAGATTCCCACATCATGCATATCAGAGACAAGTCTTACCTACCTACCCTCTTAACTTTTACCCTTGCAGATAGGGGAATAATCACCTCCCACACTTATTTTTCAGAATTCTCCCTTACCATGGCAATGATTCTACCTCAACATAGTCCTGATAAAATTACGTATCTAAATCAAAGGCACCTTTCCTTCTACCTCATCTGGGTCCTTGAATATGATAGTGGCCTGCCTCCTCATAACACCTTCTCTCTTTGTTTTTCCAGTCTAACATACGGGCATTCACCGTGACAAAGCTGTCCTGGTTAAAACACCTGGCACCAGCTTCTACATGGTCATCAACTGTCATCCCATCGATGCTCCTAAACCCCAGTACAGCACCCCCTTTCAGCAGGAAACAATAAAAGAAAGAAAATTTTCGCCCTTTTTCCTAATAATCAAAAGACAGGACTGAAAGGATTTTGCCCCAGATGGGACACTGTAGCCGATGGGAGCCTGGGAGGTGGAACCAAGGAGCGGTATGTTGAGGTCACCTTTCCCATCCCTAAGCAATTTACCTGTGGCACAAAATGAGTACCAATGGGCTACCAGTGCATCAGTAATGCCCCTTAGGCACCACCCCAAACCTAAGCTACATGGATGTTCCCACGCCACACCACATGTCGGGCAGAGAGAATGCCAGACCCCGGAGGTCATGGAGTCTCTCTCCACATTCTTAAAATAAAGGCCACTTTTATTTCATACTTATCTTTTTAGCCTCGCCGAAAATTCTATCAGATGGTTCCCTTCCGTGCCGAAAATTCTATCAGTTTTGACCAGACCTATTTAACAAATTTATCAGATGTTTCAAAACCAACTGAATACCCCAGTGGATACAGCAAATATCCTGAGATTGTTTGGGCAAACAGGGTCCTCCATGCAAGCTTTGTTATGGGGCCAGTGTAGTACCATGCATATTTTAAAAATTTTATTTGTGTGGGTGGTGCTGACTTCAATATGGTAGGTGGGACTGAGGAGTAGGTTATGTCATAAGTGTTTCTATTTATTTCACACTAAAAAATTATGCAGAAAAAACTCAAGCTTTCAGTCATTTAAAATTTTAATCAGAATTAATATTTATGATTAAATACATGGTATCATATATTTGATTAAATGTAAGTCACAATTATTAAGTATATGTGGCTATTAATATTTGGTATTATCAATACTGAATATTAATTAAATGCTAATATTTAATATTAAATATATCCCAAGTTTCACATTAAGAGAACACTTGTGACTGACAAACACATGTCCTTTGGTGTGTAAGGGGCATCTTGATGGACTGTTAGTTACCCTCCAACTTTGGCCCTCATTCATTCCTAAAAATGGAGCTCCATTTTCATTAAGACTGTCACTGTGTCTAAGAGACCATTATTTCCCCTGTCCTAAATTTTGGCAAGGAGAAGTGAGTGTGTGAGACTTCTAGGTAGATGCCTCTAGGTGAACTGATTCAGCTGTATCTGTTTTTGAGTGTGCCTTCCAATTACATTTTGTATTATCTAAAACCTAGATGCAATGCCTAGCACTCAGGCAGCCATTCTGTGACCTTCAGCTTGAAGCCATATGCTAAGAAAGGCAGAGTAGAAAGACAGAACCCGGATCCCTGATAACTTTGTTTGGCCTCTAACCTTCTCAGCACTGCCTGCCTTTAATTAAATTTGTTCATGTAAGTGAATTAGCCCTGGTGTTTTTAAACCATAAACCTTTATGTTTTCTCTTATATAGACCTGTATCTAGTCTGATACATGAAGAGAACAAAGATTGGTGGAAATAATTATTTCACCCAAGTCATGATTCAGCAACATTTGTCTGCCACGAAATCTTATTATTTTTTTTTTTTTTGGCTAAGTTCAAAAATTATGTACTTAGAGGTACTTGATTGTTCTTCTGAACAGCTTTAAAGCAAAAGGGAGCATAATCATTTCACAGGAAAAGAAAGCACAATAATGGGTGGCTTGCAAATATTTTCTTCCTTCCTCTTCAAATCTAGAAGCCTCACTTTCTAGGAAGCCACAAATCTGGGAGTAAAGGTGTGTTCCAGCAGTCTGGTACAGGATGCTAAATTTATTAGTCATTAAGCCTCATTTACTTTAACCTTTTAACTCTAAAAGGATTTGCTTGTTGATTTTTTCTTCCTTTTCTTTTTGAGACAGTATCCTTTCTATGTAATCTAGACTGGCCTCTGAGTCATGGTCTCCAGAATGCTGTGAATACAGGCATGCACACCACCCCTGGAGGTGATGTTACATTATATTCGTTATTGTAGTCTGCCTTGTACTTGACAAGGACTTTGTTTTTGTGGCCTGGGGGATTGAAATCAGCCTTTGCACTGAACTTCATCCCCATACACTTTTATGTTTTTTTTAATTTTGAGGCAACCTTGGTAAATTGCTAGATTACCTGGGGTGGGGCTTGAACTTGCCATGCTGCCATCTCAGCCTCCCAGGGTGCTGGAATCACAGACAAGCAGCACCACACCTAGCTTGTTTGTGTGCTTCGGAATAGAAATAAGTTGAGCGCAACTCTACCACTGAACCGTGACCGCCCATGAGTTTTGTGTTTCGATTGTCAGTATCCAGGCCATTCATATTTAACAGTAGCGTTAAATCAGTTTTAAAATCTATCACTTTGTTTGCAACACTGTCCTCCATTCCAAAGAATCCCATGATATAATCCATGCGCTTGCTTAGGTCTGGGAGATTTAATTCTTTGTTGCATTCTGATAGCTTGAGGCACATTCTGTTTTTAGTAATTTAAGGGGAAATTTAAAAACTTTTTCTGTTAATTTCTATCACTATCCAAAATGATAATTTCTATGCTTACCCAAACAGACTTCAGAAAGAGCAAGGGTTAGTTACACAAACAGAAATTGTGGCAGTTTCAGCCAGCGACAAAGATGATGATTTTATGGTTTGTTCTATGACAAATGATGATTACATATTCTAATTCACCAGGTTGGAATTCTGCTGTTCTTCTTATAGGCTTCTCCTTTTTTATTTTAATGATCTCAATGAATTGGTCATGTTTTGAGTTAGGCTTTGGTAGCAGAAACAAAAGTATCATAAACAAGGTAAAAGTTCATTTTCCTCTAATGTAAAACAAGTTGAATCCTGGGGTCTTCTAGAGGTTTCTTAATGTTGTCAGTGCCCTTGGAGTCTTCTCCGTTTCTGCCCAACTATCTTTGTACAAACTGCCTCATAGTCACAAGGTGGCTACTGGAACACTAGCCATCATGTCTGCATCTAAAGCAGAAACAGGAAGGGAGATCCACATGACTGCTACCTGCTGCATAACTTTGGGAGAACTTAGTGATACGGTTATTCCTGTCTGCAGAGGAGAGTGAGAGATATGTTTTTCCAACTTTTCCATCAGTTGAATAAAATTAGGGTACTGCAGCTAAGAGATTTAACAATAATGTCAGATAATCTGGGAGAGAAAACAATTTTTCTTAACCAATGGAACATTGCCCTGGGGTCAATATGATTTGTAACAGAACGTTAAGAGTTATAATGGCCAGGAGTCTGTGTTCTTGAGAGTGGAAAATATGCTTTTTAAATAGTCATATTTGTTAAACATAACAAACCAGAAATATCTACGAATGTTTCTCCCTTACACAGTGATCATTCACAGATAGACTGTCAGTTTTGCTTTATCTTGATCTTTGTATCATGGTTTTTGGAAGAAGATGATAAGAGTTGAGGAAAGACACATTTCTGTACTGCTGCTTTTTCAAAAATAGAATAATAAAAAAGGCCTGCTGTGTTCAAGCCACCTGACATTTACTGAGGGCATTTCCATCAGCGAGTACTTGTCCTACACGAATTTTCCATGTAAAATGGATCGTGTTGCCATTTATCTTGTGATTTCCTTCCCCGCTGTGTCCCCCGCTCGTTGCTTTTGCTCCTCTCCTCAAGTGCAGTCCCGTGAGAGTGAGGATCTCGGTGTCTAGAACCATTCCTGTCATACAGGAGGAACTCAGGAAGTGTGTGGTGAAGAGCCTCCCTACGAAAACGCTACAGAAAGGTCTCACAAACGTGATCCCTCTGAAAATACTCCATACAAACCCCCAAGTGTAAATTTCATTATTCCTGGTAACTACAAAGGAAAACGAAGGCTAAGACTTTGGCTGACTTAAGACTGCTAGGTTTTCGTAGAACCAGGTTCTAAAAGCACTGATTGCCACCTGAACACTTCCTCTGAGCAGCCTTCCCACGTCCATAATATAATGGGAGACTATGTTTATGGCTTCTAAGGCACAAAAGGAAAATGTGCTTTCCAGGAATTTGTGTTAGATATTTTATATATTCATGCCCTTCTATTATATGAGTTCTGATCTTTAACTGATAAATAACTAGGGGAAGAAGAAGCAAAATATCTGTCTTCTAATTAGTTCTCTTAAAACTCTCCCAGGGAATATAAGTCGACACTGCTATTCCAGAAATTAGTGTGACATTCCTCAAAACATTAGTAATACTACACAATACAGCAACCCCATTACCCAGAGGAAACAAAGCAAGCACCATGTAGAGAAATCTACAGTCTCTTGTTCATTGTGTGTGTTATTTGGAATAGCAAAAACCTGGAAAAATTTAGGCAACCACAGAGTGGATGAATGTTACTACCTGTGGATACACTTGTGTGTCCATGATTTGTATATCATAGAATACTATGCAGCCATTAAAAAGGAAGACATATTGCCATCTGCAGCAACATGTCCAGACCTGGAAGACTGCACAGACCTGGAGACTGACAAGATGTGAAGGAGAGGCAGAGTGTGTCTGGGATGACTCAGTTTCTCCCTTGAGCAAATAGGAACATGATGAGTCCATTAACTGTAATGAGAAGAAAAGCAAAACAGTTTTGGTTTGGAAAGATAATGGCTTCAGGTTGGAGTACTTTCGACCTTGTGGAAGTTTTAAACAAGCATCTGCTGTCTCTAACTTGAAAACAAAGGACATCCTAAGCATAGCGCCTGTTGTTCCTGACTAGTAGTCACATAGTCCATCCCCAAGCCTGGGATATAAGGAATGGCATATTTTGTATTTGGTAATTTAACTGGCAAGTAGCACGCATACTTATTTCTGTATGAGCGCACTGTCTTTCCTTTCCTGTGCTCAGTAAGGGCAGCTAGCCATTCCCCTTAAACGCTTCTCCTTCCAGCCTGCCCAACCTCCTTTCGCTGACTCAGGTCCAGGTTTTTTTAATTAAGAAAATCAACTAATCCTTGATGTACGAAAGGGGATTATTTTTGAATGAAATTAAAAACCAGACTGAATATAAATAAAACATGCTCATTTTATCTCAGTGAAGCTTTCTATAAACAAAGAGGAAGGTAAGGGAAAAAAGAAGAACCGAGGGAGAAGAGGTGGTTTATTTTATGGGGTAGTGGTGGTAGTGTTTGAAAATACGAAGTGAAAGAAAATAAGTAGAGGGTATGTGTCGGCAAAGAGGGACTTTTCCACGCCGAGAAATCTGCATCAGGGATTCGGAAAGGGAAGTCAGCAGAAGCAGCCTGAAAGGTGGCTGCCTCTTGAAGAGGCCAGAAGTAACTGTCAGTACCTGGCTGTGTAAGGCCCTATTCACCCCTGGGCTACCCTCAACTTGATCTAAATGAGAGGAGAAACTTCTGGAGCTTTAAATGTTTTAAAAACTATTTGGGAATCATTTGAAAGCAGTTTGAGTAGAGAAATATCATGATTTAACCCATTTATTTAAAAATACTATGTGTAAGGTTGAACATGAACCACTGTGTACAACATTGACTGCAGGAAACCTGTTAGGTTTTGATTAGATGACAGAGGATAGTGATTTGGACAAGGACACTATTGATGGAGATACTATTTTTTTAGAAGCACATTTATTGGAATTTACTGACTGTCTTGGTTACTTTTCTTTCATTGTTGGGACAAAATACCTGACACCCAAAATGAAGGAAGAAAAGGTTTATTTAGCTTACAGTTTGTGGAGGTTTCAGTTCATAATCAGCTGGCTCCAAGGAAAGGTGGCATGGCACAGGGGTACCACGTCAAGACAACAGCCAGGAAAAACAACCAGAGCAAAAAGGGGGAAAACAAGCCTCTTTCCCTCCCTTATATTGTGTGCAGGCCACCCTCAGGCCCCCAGGACAAATGTAGCACTCACAAAATCTCTGTTGACCTCCTTTTGCACAGGATGAGGATATTTACAAAGTAAGGCTCTTGGCTCCTGCTGAATCTCTTAGCTGAACTTCTAAACTTCCCAAGTTGACGCAATGTATCAACCATAACACTTACACATTGAATTTAGGGTGTAAGAAAAATGGAGCCAAGAATGTAAGAGAGATTGTAGCCTAAAGTCCTGGCAGAGAGTTGACATTAGTTGAAGGAGAAAAGACTTCCGTGAGCATTTGTAATGGATAAGAACAGGAAGTTCAAATTGGAAGATTAATTTTGCCATGTGTACAGGCTCTTAAGATTTTATTAAGCAGTTGGAACCTGAAGTTCCAGGGAGAGGTCTAGGGCAAAGCATTTCACTTGCTGGTCATTATCGCAATGACAGGGCCTTTTAATGTCAGGATTCTGGCTGAGATCAATAGGAAATCAGGCAGAAAAGAATAAAAATTAACCCCTGAGTTCTGGGGTGCTATATTACGAAGTTAAGGAAAGGAAAACCAATCAATGATGT